ATTCATAAGTCATCATCGAATACATATTCCGTTATATCACATTCATTAAGTAATTACTGAAAAAAATTCCAGAATAGCCATAATAAAATTTGAAATTCAAACTTCCAACCTACAAAACATCTTATAATTTGGTAAAGTCCTTGGAATTCCATCACATTATCCATTTGGAAGCAAAATAGGGAAAATCAAAATAGGGTAACAGAAGCACGTAGAAATGCCCAAAAGTGATAAATGAATACACATCATCCTTAACAACTAATACTATACTATGATGATGGTTATTTTGGGGGTGCATGGTAGTGGTGGTGTATTAGGCCCACAGTCGATGACATCTTTGAACTGAATTGCACATATGAATCAACTTAACGTGTCAATACAGGACGAACCATTAGGTCGTCTTCTAGATTGGTTGTTTCTTACCATTCCTTTTGCACAAATATATATATATATATATATATATATAATTGAAATCATTTGACTCACTCATCTATACATATAGATAATTGAAATCATTTGACTCACTCATCTAACCCCTTTTACAAGTTATGACTACTTTAGTACTCTCCTTCAGTTCTGCAATAGTTGTTCACATAGTTCTCAACGTGAAGAACTATTGCAAGACAGAAATAATATTAGAAAAGATTAATATACATATAATAGCAAAAGCACAAGGCAGGTCATAATTGAGAATATTCAAATTTCAAATTATGGGTGATGATGATCATTAACGATTAGTGCTTTTCCATTTTCATAAATATTGGACGGTCTAACAAAAGAGACCTTATCTAAGTTAGCACAACAAAAAGATATCCCCTTGCAGCTTTAAAGAGACGAGAAACAAAATCACTTTTGAGAGTTTTGAATTCTTTGTAGTACTGTAATTATACGTATAATACTGTATTGAAGGGTCCACAATTCACTTTCGTCGGGTGAAGTTTATGGACCGTTAGATGCACCTGCCCTGCCTCCATTCCATAAAGCTTAAGCCTTGGACATGCTCAGTTTTTGGCATCCTTATTTGTTTAGCAGAGGCCCTTCAGCCCCTCCTCCCAGTGTATCAGTCGGTTCGTAATATTTTTTCAAGAATAACATTATACATCTCGATGAATCAATTAATTCGATCAATTTATATAAATTTTTGTCCAAATTTATTATACAGTGCAATTGAAACTCATGTTATCAAATAAATAACAGATGTGCCAAATATTATCAAGTCATTGCTGACGCGTACCTAATGAAAATGTAACATTTAATAAAATAAATTTTATTAATTTATAAAAATCATTTTAAACAAATTAATAGCATCTAAAGACGTGATATGGCTCATACACTGTATTTGGTTCTTATCAGACCTCAAATTCTATGCATTCATACCTCAAATTTTGAGCACACCGCCTTTGGAACCTGAGCACCCCGCTAAGCCACTCGATTTCTAGAAGTGCTCAATTCTTTGGTCAACAAATGCGGCTTCATTCGCCCTTTATATAAAAAATGATTATACATATATATATATATATATATACATACAACTTTATCAATGTAGCTATTCTTGCAACATAAGAAAATCATCTCAATTGATGGTTCTTTGACAGGTGTGTGTATTTGTGCAATAGCCCACAATTTACAGCGTATATATACCACAATTTTAGCTCTTGAATGCAATGGAATGGATAAAGGTTCTTTTGTGGTGGTTTCTACTAGAGCGGGTTAGGTATCATAATTGGGCCTGGCCCAATTCGTTTTTGGGCTTTACAATCAACGGACCATCCCGACCTGCCCATCTTCAAAACCTAAGCCCAAGTTTGACGAGTCAGACGGGTCAACAAGTCACAACATCCGTTTGGTTTATATATATATATATATATAGTAGTATATACAACAACTAATATATGTTATATTATTTGAACTGAACTTGGTTTTTCATTTAAGTATAAGTTATATATATATATATATATATATATATATATATATTAGTTATAAAATCTTCAAATAATATAAGTTTTATTTCAATAAATAACTTAAATATTATAAAATTTATAAATTATATTCCAAGTGATAACTTAAATATTATAAAATCAATTTATAAGTAATACGCATATCTTTTAAGTTGTAGAGTAATGTTATTGCGAGGCCGCTCGCGTAAGAACGCTCATGAGCTCCCCCATTTCAGCCGTAGGATCCAGCAATTCTCGAGATTTGAAGTGAAGACATTTCTCAAATGAACGCCGTTTAGGAATAAAATAAATAAATATATACGAAGTGAAGACATCTTTCCAATCTCGAGAATTACTGGATCCTACGACTAAAATGGGGGATATCGTGAGTGTTCTGATGTAGGGATGGCAATGGGGGCGGGTATACTGAAAAAACGGGGGAACTTTCCACTCCATCCCCGTAACCGTTTTACATTTTTACCTCGCGGGTACCCGCCCCGCCCCGCCCCGCCCCGTTTAAGACTATAATTTAATTATTGTTGAAATGGATTTACTGTTTTTTTCTTTTCTTTTTTTTCCCTTCGTCTTCAATTTTTCACCATTGCAACTTTCCTTTTAATAAAATTTATTTATTACTTTAATATTGTTATATAGGGTACTTAATATATAGTGGGAAATATATATACTAATAAAATAAGTGTAGTAATTTGCATATCTAAACAGGGCGGGGTGACCTCCCGCCACCCCCGCACCAAACCCGCGCGGGTTTTTATTACATCAAACTATCCCTGCCCAAATAAGCAAAATGGTCTCCTAAAACCGCAAAAAACGGGGCGGATAACCACGGGGGCGGGTCAAATTGCCATCCTTATTTTGACGCGAGCGACCCCGCAATAGCACTACTCTTAGTTCTAACAATCAAATTCTTCGCCTTGTGTTCCCGCCTTCAAATGGGAGAATGTGGTGTGTTCGATGTAGCATTGTGTTATTGGACATTTTTAAAAGTAAAACAACCAAAATAATAAAAAAGATGAACTGCATTAAACGTTTATTTTCTATCTGTGTTTTGCACTAAATTCTCTTCTTCTTCTTTTTTTGTCAAAAAAATCCTCTCAGCTATTCTAGGGGGTAATTTAACTGACAAGAGTTAGCTGAAAGAGAGTTAATATATCCCAAACACACACACACACACACACATATATATATATCTACTTCATTATCACTCTTAGCCGTATATCCTCCACCATTGTAGCAGCACATACTCTTCTTGCTCAATCTCTTTTACTCACCATATATATATATATATATATATATATATTATGATATTTTAATATTATATATAATATGTATCATAATATAATGGTATATATATTATGTACCATTAAATATTATTTAAACTACATTTGCATTTTCATCCAGCCTTCAAACTTATATAAATCTTGGTTTTTCCTTGAAATTTATCTGTTTTTATTTTTTATTTTTTTGAGAATTACATATACATTAATTTCTTTGATTTTTATTAATTTTTATTTTATACAGATTTGTTAAAGTGATTCATCTTCTACAACTACCATAAATAATACCAAAATTTGTTCCTCTTTTTATTGTTTATGCCTACATATTTTTCTAATTAAGAATCAAGGTAATTAGTATTTGAATTTGAAATAATAATAATAATAGTACTAATTAAGATTATTATTATTATTGTTGTTGTTGTTGTTGTTGTTTTCTAAAGTTGAATCAAATTCATATACATATTGTATGTTCTCATTATATTTTTTTGCTCCACGCAGCTCCATGACACTCAACCTAGGGAGATGAAAGTTTATAATATCTAAACTAAAGTTCATTGGTTCCATATTATATCTTCCATCCAATATTTTTTTTTGTCCCTTTTTTCTAATTTTTAAATATCCCAATTTTTATGTAACATTTTAAAAGTGAGTGTAAAAATATATATTTTAGAATATTTTCAATTTCTTTCCTAAAAATCAATTATATATACATAGAAAATGATAAAAGTGCCCATTGGTTTATAAAATGGAATGAATCGTCAAATTTTGATTGACATAGTATAAAAGGAGAGAGTCTATTTTATTGATTATGGTGTAAGAGACTGAGATTGCTTTTCAATCCTTTAAAAGCATTTTTTTTGTATTAGAAAATTTTCATTTAGATATATTTGACAACTATTAAAAGCACTTTTAATAATTTTTAATTTTTGTTTAGTAGTGCTTTTGAACGAATCTAAAATTTCTATCTTTTAAAACTGTTGGCAGAGGTTCTATTTGTTAGGTAACTATTTTTCTTTAGATAAATATATATAATATATTTTTATAAAACAATTATAGTAAATTTTTTTAAAGGACAATATTATAATATTAACAATAGAAATGCTTAAAAAAATGCTGTTACAAAATAGATTAAAAAGTAAATTCATTATGAAAAAATTCTTCATATAACACTAAACGGTCGAACATGTTTTATACAGGGTAAAATGCAAAAATTTCTGCTATATAAAAAATGTGCAAAATATAAAATTAAAAAAAAATCCTTAGTATGTGTATATAAATTCCTTTTAATTTGAAAATTTGTAATCTCCTGATGGTCAATTTTGACCATTTATTTTTTAAAAAATCAAAAACATCATTAAGAACATTTTAGGTATTTCAATTTTCAATCTTCAATTTTTTTATAAAAACCCTAAAAATATCAAATTTTTTATAAGAACTCAAAATACCCCAAATTTTTTTTTTATTTTATAAAAAACCTAATTTGTTATTTATAAAAATCCATAATGTTTGAAATCAGTTTTTTATTTTATTTAAATTAAAAATTCGTCATTGCGTACTTAATTTGAAAAATATAGGATTTTTTAAAATTATTTTTTAAGACGTGAAAGAATATTTGCACATTCCACATAACAAGAATTTTTTTAAAAAACTTTTTTATACTTTTTAAAAAGCACTTTTTCTATTGTAACGGGTCGAAGAGTCCTATTTAAGTTGGGAAAAAAAAAAAAAAAAAAACCGGATTCGGGCATCAAAGCATATATCTCTCTCTCTCTATATATTCCTGATGAGCTGTGCCCTAATCTAATTCACGGACGCGTAGACACATATATAAGCAGAAACAACTTGGAGTGCGAGAGACAGCAATCAGAGAGTGGTATACAGAACAACCAGCGAGAGTTATCAGAGCATAACCGGAGGTAAACTCTCTCCAAATCGATCTGATATTCTGTGGTTCTAGTAAGTCTCTCGTGTGTGTGTGAATTCATTGGAAAAACATGTATATTTGAGTCTGCTTCTATATATTTTCCTACCATATCTGTCTTATATATACAATAAACTTTTCGATTGTCGGCCTGATTTGAATTCTAGGGTTTCTGTTCCTTCCTTTTGCTATCGTTTTTTTCCCTCTTATGTGCTTCAAGTGTTCTATTAGCTGTTTTGATGGGTTAATATTTGAGATTCGCATCTGAGGCAAAAACGACTTCAGGGTTTGATTTGATGGGTTTTAGGTGCTTTATTTGATTTGGTGATGATTGTCTTCTTAGTGCTGGATTTGATGTAGGTGTTTTTTTTTTGGGTGTGCGCGCGCTTTATATTTATTTACTTTTGTTTTCTATTTGGTAGATTTTGATACAATCATGGCGGACGAAGAGAATTCAAACGATACGAAGGTGGAGGTGAAAGAGGATGCGGCAGATGTAAGTTCATTGCTCTAGCCTCTATGTGTATTGCGTATATTTAGTTAACCGATGATGTTGCCATTGTCATTGTGTTCATATATGAATGTTACCATGTTATGAGTGTCTACATCTACTCAAGATTTGATGAGTTAGACATGGTTTGGTGAGGTTCCTAAGTTGCAATATTATTACACTTGATTTTGTTAGATTGTCTTTTTAATTATTTAATACATTAAGTATTTTCTGTCAACAAGCACAGGTAAGCGGAGAATTGTTCAAGTTGTTAAATTATAAAATTTAAAGTTGTTTTATAGAATAGGTTGCCCATGACCATAAATAAGAGAGTTGATTTGTACACTGCATATCTTTGTTTAGGATCAACATCCCATGTTTTTGTTCCATTTTACTGCTATAGATATATTATATACTTATTGGACTGCTCGGAGATCCATGTAGCCGCTCCGATGTTTTTGAGGTGTTGGCTTGACTTCGATATTACCTCATTGCTCTTAATTTATTATGCTATAGCAGATTGCCCCATTTGATCCCACTAAAAAGAAGAAAAAGAAGAAGGTGGTAATTCAAGATCCTGCAGATGACCCTGTGGATAACTTGGCTGAGAAAACTGAAACTTTATCAGGTATATGAACATAATGAGAAAAAATTACTGGAAAATTCATTCCCTACCCTGTTTTCCATATTTTGCCTTGCCAGTGGACCTGTTATTATGCTGATGATACACGTGTTGCTTTACCCATGCAGTTTCTGATGGCCTCGAGAATACCTTTTCCGGTTTGAAAAAGAAGAAGAAGAAACCGGTAAATTATCAATATAATGCATTTCACCATGACCAAACAGAGTTTTACTAAAAACTTTATTGACATACCATGTGGTCCTTGCAAAATTTTACAGGTGCAGACTGATGCCATAGAGGATGAAAAAGAAAATGCTGGGGAGGATCTGGTGGATGGTAAGAAGTTCTGTTATTAACACTTGCAATTACTCAAGGTTGAAATGATAATTGTATCCTTATTTGTATAGTGGTTCTTATATGGAATATAAGATATTGCTTCTTCACTTTCTAGATCACATTGGCGAGGATGAAGAAGGTGAAGGAATTGTCCTGCAATCACAGCTCCCATGGGAAGGGAGTGACCGTGATTATGAATATGAGGAGGTATTTGTTTTTTGTTTTATTTTTTTTTTTGTAATGAGATATAGTTATAATACTCTGTCAAACTGTCAGTATAATTTTGATAAGGTTTCTCGAATATACTTAGATTATGGTTCTAATATTTTATTCAACGTTCATGTGTGGTGTTCATGATAGAATACTCAAATTCATTAGTACTTCTGAATTTGCATTTTGATGTTGGGTAATATATTGCAGAACCTCTTAATTTATGCAGTCATCAGGAACTCTCCCTAATATGATTCGTAGTGTTGCAATTTGGTCAGCATTTCAATCAGACCCAACCTGTATTTCATTCAGATGAGCTCCTCTGAATGAAATACCGGGCAAACTGAAACATTCCAAACCTGTTTTTTATTTTTTTATAATTATTATTTAATATAATAGAAGTGGATATATGAAGGCCATTCATTTCTAAGCAAGGGGTAAAAACGAAAGCTGTTAAAATGGTCTTCTTTCTTGAGCCATTTTATAATACAGATAGAGAGGGTAAACTGAAAAGTGAGAAGTCCTAGCCACCGTTTAACAATTGACGCTTCATGGGGAGTCTCAACCAAGATCAATGCTAGTTAAGAATTGAGTCAGTACACATTGGGCTGGGCCACATCTGTGCCAGTTTAGTATGTGATCTGGTTTGCTAGGATGATGGGCATTTGCATAGTTTTCACAATTTTGGGCCATGTTTTGTGGCTATGCACAACATACTTAATATTTGTTATATTAAAACTATCAGCGAGGTCACATGGCCTGGTGCAAGTAATTTGCCAAGTCTGTGATCTAGTTGAGTTGATGCAACTACTTTAAATTTAAGAGATGATGTTTAATTAATAACATAATAACCTGACTTGTGAGATTCATATGCATGGCATTACTGATTTACCATATGTATATCACATAAAATGGAAGTTCTTGTGGAGGTTGGATGGCCTGAACTCGGTTGAACTTATTATCTCCTAGCAGGCTGTTTTATGGCTGGCATGAACCTTATTGGTATGTTCTACCTTACCATTGCATAGCCTAGCTCAGCTTGGCTCAACATATGGATTTCAACTATAAATGGGTACATGTGATGATAATTTGTGTACAGTAAACTGTAATAACATTTTTTGTCTATGCGACAATATAAAAGTTCTAGCATGGATATATTATCAAACTGAGTGCTTTTTATCGACTGTGAAAAGCCTATATAACCAGATAATACGTTTAAATGATTGGTCTTGGTTTTTCTTATTTTCTCGTTTCATGTCAGAAGCTATGAATGAATGGTCTGTCATGGTGTTTTGTCATCTTCATTTTTTGTCCATTCTTTTATTTCTTCAAGTTGATTGAGCGTTAAGCTGCCATATAACTAGGTATCTCTTGGTTTAGTTTTTTCTATTTTTTCCCAAGTTTGTGTTGGGTCAGGATTGTTATTCCACTGTTACTCTCTTCTGGATGATTAATGATCTTTGGTCAAAATATGTGCAGCTTCTGGGCCGGGTGTTTAATATTCTTCGTGAGAATAATCCAGAGCTTGCTGGTGATAGACGAAGGACAGTCATGAGGCCTCCACAAGTTCTTCGTGAAGGCACAAAGAAAACCGTCTTTGTGAATTTTATGGATCTGTGCAAGACGTATGTTCGATTTCCTTTTTTATCTTTTAACTAATACCGGACTATGGGATGTCTGTTTAATTAGTTCTTGCAAAAATTATTTGATTTATTTATTATTTTAAAATTCTTTTCACATAGTATATGCTGAGTATTCATCATATACTATATAATTCATTGCCTACTCTATTTAAAATCACAAATATTGATTTAGTTTATGCTATGAAGCATGTATGCTTTTGAGTTTTCATCATATACTATATAATTCATTACCTACTCTATTTAAAATCACAAATATTGTTTTAGTTTTTGCTATGAAGCATGTATCTTTTTGAATAGGAGTTTTCTGGTGTAACCTTATATGGTTGTTAGATAAACAAAAAGGGTTTCAAATGTTTGGACTATTTTTTTTAGAGAAAATGACTCAAAACATAATACGAGAATGAAGTATGTCAAATTTGGTCTGATGTCCATGTTTATGGAATATAACTCTAGTAATTTCTCATGTGAAATTTAGTAATCTAAAATGTCTAGTTGATTCCCCAAAACTAAATAATTAAATAAATGAACACAGAAGATTGACATTAATTTATTTTCATTTTTTGCATGTGCTTAATTGTATATAAACATATTTTGCCATGTTCTAGTCGTATCTGTTGTATTGCTATGTTTGTGTTTTGCGTATCTTGTTATCCTGTATCATTCTTTGTGATTTCCACCATGCGTATCATCTTAATCTTCAGCACCTTACATTTACTTTTATTGAGATTGTAGTCCATGTGTGTGGTGACATTATGTTTGTGTAGGATGCAACCGTGATTGTATGCCATAATTTCTTATTATGACTAGCTCCCACCTTATGCATTCTTTGTGCCTTGTGTGCATTTAACATGAGTGATTTTGCTGAGTTTCAGCTCTTATGTTGAGGACATTTGATTTTATTTGGCTAATAGTTCAACTATTGGATAAAATAAAGTACTGGCCGGGTGAGGATCACTAGTATGTTCCGGGCAGTCCAATCCAAATCTAACCTGATTTTCATGGGTTCGGGCAAAATTTTTGAAACTAAGTTTGGGCTTGTTTGAATATCTTATTCACACATTCATTTCGTTGTGAACTAGGGTGTAGGATTTGGGCAACTTGGACACACTTCGAATTTGACAGCATGAGTTTAATCCAAATTCTAGCCTGACTATATTTTAAGTTATCATCTTCTTTAAGTTATGATGGAGTCAACCCACCCGAGTTGCATACCTAGTGCGTTCTAAGAATCAAACTTCACAATGTGTCTGTGTCGTGTGTGTGCTTAACCTTGATTTTTTATTACCATTAGTTAGGTGATGCACTTTGATTTTTTAGTGCCATTTAGTTGGTTTTCTTTTTTATGCTTTTGTTAGACATGCAGTAACACAAACTTATGTCAAGTTGCTGTTTCAATAGTTGAACTATTAGCTGAATAAAATCAAATGTCCTCGAGATAAGAGCTGAAACTCAGCAGAATCACTTATGTTAAATGCACACAAGGCACAAAGAATGCACAAGGTGGGAGCTAGTTATAATAAGAAATTATGTCAAGTTGCTCTTTCTGAAGTAACTCCTTGATTTGCTGAGTGCAATAGCAGTACATTATGTCAAGTTTCTGTTTTTGAAGTAACTCCTTGATTTGCTGAGTGCAGTGGCTGTACATGTTCATAAATAAGGTTTTCTTTTTCATGTTTTTGTATTGTCACTTTTTTTCTTCATCACATACCGTAATTTCGTTGTCAGCATTTGTATCTCCTTTCGAGCCATCCCCAATTAGGTTTTTTTCCCTATCAGTTCCATTCCTTGGTGTCACTCATGACTCAACTCACCTTTGGAAGGATTTTCATCCTTGTAGTTGCTCGAGTTATCCGCCAAATCAGTCTAGGTTCCCTTCCAGCAGTCCTAACATGATTCCCTTTCTTAATTTTGGTTGGATGAACCACTGATTTTCCACCTCTGCTTCAAATGCAGTAGCTTCCAGGAAATGCTTCAAATATCTCATCCTTCATAAGACACTCCTTTGACTACAGTTGCCCGTACACCTGATGCACTTAACAGACTCTTCTGAAGATCCTCCATATTCTTGCTTTTACTCAGCCAAGACACAGTGTCTTCTTCCTAGAGCTTGACAACCTTGCGAATGTGCCTCTTGCCAACTAAGTCTACTCAAAGTCTGTCTGAGATGCACACTCATATGCAATGGTAACGAGACCACCACAGAAAACGTGGATACATGGAATTATGGAGAATATAAGACATATTCCCTAGGGTTGCAATTGTGCTGGTTATGTGGGTTGACCGTTGATGTGTTAGTACAGGCTCAACCTATCAAACATCCAACCCAAGTGCTATTCAATGTGACCTTCAACCGAACCCTCTTAAATCGTTGCCAACCTCCATAAAAAACCCAAAAGAAAAATGAGAAGCCTCCATCATTAAAAATAAATAAATAAAAAATGCCAAGATTGAAATAGAAGATGATTAATTAAACCTTTTATGTGACTAGTAAGAGAAAAAGTAGAAGATTCCATCGCAATCTGATTATACGATGTTGTAATATAACTGCAGGTTGTATGACCTCTCCACCCCAAAGAGGAGGTGAGGTGTCGACCCCACAGTGGCCATTTGTTGTTTTTTTTGTTGTGGGGGGGGGGGGGGGGGGGGGGGGGGGGTAATGTACCGTCTGGGCATGTGCAAAGTCAGGCTGGGTTTGAAGTTGGACGACCCAAGTCGCATCCCTATTCTTTTCTCAAACTTAATGTACCAAGGCCTGACTGGCCACCAATTAGGGGCCTCACTGGCTTGAGATCTCTCATAAGTCCTTCTATCTATTACTCTATATTTAGCCTTCCCCTTATTCAGTGAATTGAGGATATCTTTCTACTTGGATGACCTAAATTATAATCCTCTAGAAGATTCCCAACTTTTCTAAGGAATGTCATAGAACCTCAGACAGATATTTGTACATATCTACATGCATTTCTCAACTTTATGTATCACTTCAGAACAATGTAGACAATGCAATTCAAATTTATATAATCCACATGTCTGGAACTCCAGAACGCTGAAGAAGATTCTAGACTCTAAGAGTACTCTGGCTGCACAGTCACTCCATCTTCACGTCTTGTTCGCTATGCTTTCAAATACGCTTGACATGCCAAGTATATTACCTAGCAAGTCACAAACTCTATAGAAGAAGTCTGTCCATGATTTGACTGTTGTATAATAATTAAAAATGCATTTTCATTCGTCACACTCAAGATTTGTAGTGTCAGTTACATGTTCATAAATCGTGATTTTTTTACTGCTATTTCTGTTTCTGCTATGGGTTATATGATTGATTTGTCAGTAATTAAAATTATTTGTTCTTTAATTGTTTGATGCTAACTGTATATACATCCTTTTCCATTGTGTATGACCTTTTTTTGTTTCTCCGTCCTGTACTCCAGCATGCACAGGCAGCCGGAGCATGTCATGAATTTCTTGCTGGCTGAAATGGGGACAAGTGGATCACTTGATGGACAGCAAAGGTTAGTTGTGAAGGGAAGATTTGCACCTAAAAATTTTGAAGGAATCCTGCGGCGATACGTCAGTAAGTTCTTTCTATACCATTTTTGCTTTGTTAGAACAAGTAGGACAGTTGTTAAATATGATCTTGATAGCTGAGAATGGGACCCTTTCTTATCTGCCCGACTTTAATGCTGATCAGAATCGGCGTAAATTTTATCTGCAAGGAGTTGAATACAACTACACTGCATAAGAGTCCTGATATCCTCTTTTTTTTAAATCATTTCTTGTTCAAGCAAATTTCTGGTTGGTGTCTGCCCCCACCATTTGGGAAGCACATTTCTGCCGTGTTCTTTGGAATTGCTTGAACAAGGAATGATTAAAAAAAGAGAGGATATCAGAACACTCGTGTGTTCTTTGGAATAGTAGTAATATTGATAGTTGTCTATGTTTCCAGATGAGTATGTGATTTGTAATGGGTGCAAAAGTCCAGACACGATTCTTTCGAAAGAGAATCGTCTTTTCTTCCTCAGATGTGAGAAGGTAATAGTCCTCAAGCTCTTTCCTTTGGTTTGAATGGATAATATATCTACTTTGACAGTCCATTGAATCCGTTCTTCCTCTGTATATAGTTATTATGATATGTGAATTTTTGCATCTTCAATTGATTAAAAATAGTACGCTCTTATACTCTATGGGATCATTTATATATCTATTATTATCCCTGTTCGTATCTGTCTTTTATTTTTAATAAAGGATTTGTAGCTTGCTGTGTTTGTATTGTGCTCCTATGGCTGATATAAAATTTTGTCGGCATTTTTCAATTATCTTAGTATGAAATATGCTACTACTCTTTCTTGGTTTCAAGAATGGAATTGGAAAAAATAAAAATAAAATTGTGTATAATTTAAAGGGTTTTGTTCATTAATAGCGAACCCTCAGGTTTTCTATAATTTGGATAACTTTGTCAATCCAGTTTGGTGATAGCTATCACTGGAAGTGCTGAATTATTATGATTCTGTAATGCAATTGCTGCTTCCAATGGTAGACTGTGTTCCTGTTTCTGATAATTTTCTGTTCTTGCCTTCTTGTAGTGTGGTTCTGGGCGATCAGTTGCTCCGATTAAGGCTGGTTTCGTAGCTCGTGTTGGCCGCCGGAAGGCTGGAACATGATCTGGCAGTTAATTCGGGAACTTTTGTCGCATAGTTGAGAAATCCCCAAGTGTCATTGAACGTCATTTCAAGGCATAGTTGAGAAATCCCTAAATGTCACTGAACGTCATTTCGAGTGTCATGTTTTTTGCGATGTGGGTTATGCATATTTCTGACTTGCATGTTAAATAGTGTTAAATTATTCTATAGCTTGGTAACCATGGGTGAATTTGGTGATTAAAGGCTTACTTTCTGTTACATTGTTTGACCTGGCAATGTCGTGGTAATGACCAACCAATTCCTTTTTAGAACTTGTGCTATGTACCTATGTTTTCTAATTTTTAATTTTGGTTTCACATGCTGAGTTTGAACTTCGACTTTCTCTCTGGGAAAGAACATACCACTTAGGCTGAGGCTTTGGTGGTTGTGTGGCTATGTCTGGTGGGTCACAGCATATTTTGTGGGTGGAAGCAATGCTAATAGATAATGTTTTAATGACATAACATCTGGGTCAATCTCTATTGGACACGCAAGTAATTGTGTTTGAAATGTGTAAGTTTTATTTAGCTCTTTTTGCTTACGTGTCAAATGGAGATTAGCAGGACCAATGGTTCTTTTTAGGTCTGTGACACCACACCTTGTTGAATTAAGTACGAGTTTACATTTTCCTAACATTTCTTAGTTTGATTTACCTTTTTGATCTTTTATGACTTCCATTGTGAATACAAAATATTAAAATGGAAGGATGAAAATTATGTGTTGGCTTCTAATTGTGCGGATGGTGTCTGTATGACCCTTTTTCCTTGAAATGCTATATAAAGTACGGTTATTGCTTGTACTTTTGATTTGGAATTGAGTATTTATCTTTAAAAAGGAACTTGTCGAAATAACTTTGAAATTCTATATTTGGTTTCTTATAAAAGTTCTATGATGCTTTGAGAATTGGATGTTGCGAAGTTGGTAAATAAAGCCTAATGGATTTAGGACGAAAATTCAGTTAAAAAAAGTGCACTTGTTTAGGAAGAACCAATTTTTATAATTTTTTAAAAATAATATTTTGTCTTCTTGAGTTCTTGATTGCTCATTTTCTCGAGAATATGTGTTTTGCTCAAAACGTGTTTATATCGTTGAGGTGTGTGTTTGTCACTGCATACCCTGCACGTGTAGATATATTGTCCACTCAAAACAATGACTTGACCATGCAAATTATCAACTACTACACTTTGTTTATATTGTTTCAATTTAATTACAAGACACGCTTTGTTCATATCAACTTCGCAAAAAAAGAATGCAAGAAATTATACATGTAAATTTTAAAGACCTTGCACAAGGAGTATCTCGTAAAGAAATAAGGTAAGAAATTATACATGTAAATTTAAAAAACCCTATTCATGACGTGCATGGGTCATTACATGTGGTGCGCACGGGGCTTAGATTAGCCTAGTGCATCGGGTGTACCGAATATGTATTCCTGAACAAAGTTCATTGGAGTACAAATTTCTCCCGTTCTCTCAATTGTTGAGTTTTACCAAAATCCAAAAAAAATTATACTCCCTCTAATTCAAAAAGAATGTTCTTTTTGGGGAGTATAAATTTTTAAGGAGACATGTGAGCCATGTATTGTCTCATGAAAAGCTACTTACTTGCCCTTTTAAGTTTTGAATATTCAACTTTTGAAGTTTTAAATTTCAAAGACATATATGTAAAGATATGAAATATATTGATGTGAAATATATTGTTTGAAAAAATAAAGATGTACGTACTTTTTGGAACTGAGGGAGTAACACCAAAATCCAAAAAAATTATAATTTTCTTTTGGAAATCGAAGAAGAAAAAGGGGTCCACCATTGCGTGGGGCTCACACTTGGGAAAAATTATTAACGGCCTAGGACTTTCTGACTAATCATGACATGACAGTTGACACGCGGTTTATATATTAAAGTTATGTATAATTAATCATGGAGAGAATGATATGTAAATAATTTTTATGTGTTGTTTTGAAACTTTAACTCTCCAAAATTTAGGATTATGCATAGTTAGGGCTTGAGATTATAGATGATTGCTCAAAAAAAATTAAGGCACTTATAAACGAAACTAGTGATGGACAATTGTTTGATTTATTATAGAGGAGGACTGTTTTGATCGGCTTCAATGTTAACATATGTTACTATTGTAGATAAAGAATATGGATCTTTATATTTTTGTAAAGAAAATATTGTGAGAGAGTAACTAGCCTAAAAAAGAGAAAAGAGTGACTTTAATGAAGAAATACAACATCATATTTATCATTTGTGATACAATCTTGAAATTTTTATTTTTTTTTGGTGAAGTCTATCACTACTCTTCTTTAATGTCATATAGCTCCAATTTAGGGATGTCAATTTCCTCCGACCCGTGGGTTTTTGCCCTGTCCCTAATGGGGTGGATTTGGTGTTCCCCTAAATATGTTTGGGACGGATATGGTAAAATAATTAAAAATTCGAAATGGGTTAGGGACGGGAGCGGATTTAGTGATGAACCCGCCCTGATTATATATGTACCTTTTAATTTTTTTTATATATAAAATATATATTTAATATTTTTAAGACTTTTGTTACTTCATTGGGAGTGTCCGTTAATATATTAATATTTATATTTTAGTAATTTAAAAGTTGGGTCAACTTATTTATTAGCCTAATTTGAACACATTGGGCTAGTTTTTTTTTTTTTACTACATAATAAAAGTGGTATAACCCGACCCGCCTCCGTTACGCCTAGTAATTAAACGGAGTATATGGGACGGAGTCAGTTATTGGTCTACCGAAGTAGGGGCGGAGTTGTTATGACATATCTTCTAACGGGCGGAGTAGGGTTTAAACAAACCCATCCCGTTGCCATCCCTAAACTCGATCTCTTATATGATTTACAAGTATGAAATGTGGATATATTATTATATCCTAGATATCAATTAATCTGTGGCAAAAATGCAAAAAAACCCTTGTACTATCACAAAAGTGATAAATAACCCTTTGGATTATATCGGGTTGCAAATCAACCCACCTATACAAAGCATTGCAAAAGGACCCTTCCGATCACCGGACCACACATTTCGGCATCTGATGATTCACGGTGCCTATGTACTTTCAAGTAATACCCAAATTACCCTTTTAAGTGACTATTATACCTTCGGCAAAAGAGCAAAAAATCCCCTAAATTATCAAGAAAGTAAAAAATACCAACGGGCCAATGGCCTAGCGGTATTAACTTCTTACTTTTCAAAGGGAGGTCAGGGGTTCAAGTCTTAGAAGAGACGTGTGTGTGAGTACCAACTAAAAAAAAAAAAAAAAAAAAAAGAAGTGAAAAATAACCCCTTGAACTATCTCGGGTTTCAAATCAAACCCTCAACTATACAATTTATTTTTGTTATCGTTTTAAATTATTGTTATTATTACTATCGCCCTCAACTTTTATATAAATTAATAAGTTGGGGTATTTTGATAATTGTGACCCTCTGGGTGTCGAAAAATGTGGTCCGATGATCGGTATAATTTTTACTTTCGTGATAGTACATAATTTTATTTATTTATTTATTTTTTATTTATTTATTTTTTTTTTTGCACTTTTGCCTTAATCTGTTTACATCAAATGGATGATGCAACTTGTTTATTACAAGTATAAAATGTAAATATAATGAAAAAATTGACATAATGGATGACTAAAATCATAAAAATGAGGGTAATTGGGACAATGCAATTACAAAAAAGGAAAAATACCATTTCATATTGGGTTTATATTGAAATAATAAAAGTGTGCATAATAATTGGGTTGAATAAGTTAAGAGTGAATCACATTGACTTGACATGATTATGACACCATTAATTAACCGATATAATTATATTTAATGAATTAAACTTTAAAATTAAAACACTACACGATTAATTAAGTGAAAAAAAAAAAAATTTTATGTAGGCCGGTTACGTGGAATTGGAGTCTTGAAATTGTAATAGATGGAATTGGATAAAATCTTGGTTCAATTTTGTTAGTTACTTTTCTCCAATTCTACAAATTTCAATTCTAAAACTCCAATTGCAAACCAACACAACCTTAGAGAAGAACTTTTGAAAAATTGTTTTAACAACATTTATGTAATTTCTTCAATTATGATTGTGAAGCTGCTTTTCCACAAGCTTGGTATGCACACCTCATCTATATATCCCCTTCTTATTATGATCAAACTTGGGAATAAATTGGAACACTAAAACTTATACATAATTTGGTCATTCCCAACCAATCTACTTTCCTGGTTACAGGGTTTTATTGGATTCCCTCCAATTCCCACCCCACCTCTCCACTTCCCACCCCACCTCTGCTTCTTTCTGAAGATTGAGGAAGTAGAGAATCATTACATATGAAAGAGGGTTACAAGAACCAAAGCTGATACAGCCAACACAGAGGAGACCTTCTTCTTTCCATGCCCACTATACAGGTATGGATTTGTTCCATCAAAGGCTGCATTTAAACCACACAAAAAGATAAAAATTAGTTTCCAATGTATCTTATCTATATCCAAGAAGCACCCATACCGATATGTGACACGGGTACGACACAATAGGGACATGACAATATTGGGGACAAGGGCGGATCTATGTGTATGTTTAAGTAGGCTTAATTTTTTTTTTTTTTTTTTTTTACTATAGGTAATTTTAGCCCAACCCAAATTTTTTTAATTACTAGTATTAGCCCACCCAAAAAAATATTAGCCCACCCTATTAACAATTTCTGGATACACCCTTGACTGGAGACATGGGTACGATACAATATAGACCCGACAATACTACAAATTTCAAGAAAGAGGAAAGTAGACACAATTACGACTAGGATAGGTTAAAATATAAAATAATTACTTTACTAATTCGATCAGTATAATTTTGAATGAAATCACTAATTGGAAGCTTCAAACTAGTTGTTGTTTCTTATGCAAATTTCAAGAAAGTAGGACATATGGCTAGGATAGGTCAAAATATAAAAATAATATCTTTACTCATTTTATCAGTATAATTTTGAATGAAATGAGGTTGTTGTTGTTCTTATTTTCTAAAGTTTTATATTATTTTCTTAATTAAATCATAATATATTTTTAATTCCATTACACCCCATTTTTATTAAAAATATTTACAAATTAACCTGTTATGTTCCAAACGTGTTCCATCTATGTTCATGATATATCTAATTAAAAAATAAATAATTTAAATTTCAAGACATATCCAGACATGTCCGTCATTTCTATACCACCCTTGGAATAAGTATATGTACCTCCTTGATTCATATTTATAGAGTAACAGGGAGCGAAGGCCCCACCACTGAAGAGGATGGTGGT